CACTGCTCGAGCACCAGTAGTACCAGTTCAGCAGTAAACTGCGCACAGCAGTAGTCGCTTACTCGCCGCTTGCAGCAGGGTGGGACTGTAGGACTAGACCAATTGGACAAGAGCGTCCTGCATTTCTGCCAAAAGATGACGTCACCAAAACGCCCTTCGGTGGATTTCGGGTTGATACTGCCAGTAAATACTGGGAAGTACTGGATATTCCAGTATTGAAAGCTGTACTAAAGCGTGCAGTACAGTACAGTACCGAGAGCCGTACTGCCAGTACAGTATATTCCAGTATCGAGAGCTGTACTGGAGAGTGCAGTATTTTTATTCCAGTATTGAACTAAAGCGTCCAGTACAGTACAGTACCGAGAGCCGTGCAACATTTCGCTGGAGAAAAATGGGACGGCGAAAAAAGAACATAAGTCTACATGGCCAATAAGAACACGTGCTCGGGTTGGGGCAGCCAAGAAGAACTGAGCCTAGCTCAAAATAGGTTCTTCTTAAGTGCGGGCCTCAACTGTATTAGTAGTGTAAACAAACGAGCCAGGAACAAAACACAGAAGGTGCTGGTTTGAGTGTATCTCGTTCCTCCTGTTCGTGCTGCCGGGGAAGAAAGTTGGTGACAAACTAATAAGATGCATGGCCGATTGTGTGTGGTGCTCTGCTACTACACTTCTACTGCTACTAGCTGTCGGTGTTACTTCGCACTGTATCACCTCTTCTCTCTCGACAGAATCCGAGCTGTACTTTCTTCTTGTAGGCCACCCAAAGACTAAAGCGTAGTTTGCGGGGAGACTACCCTTTCCTTTGAGATAATACCACAGACAGTCGATTGCGATGTATTTGTATATATATATGTGTCTGTACTGACTTGTAGTCGATCCGGTCAGACGTGCCGGAATCGTGTCCGTCCGGAAGCAACAACGAAACACCGCAACAGGAGAACAAAGCAGCAGCAGCAGTGTGTTATTTTTTATTAGCAGCATCCACCGTGCTAACCGGCTGACCAATGAAATGACGTCAGTGTCATTGCGGTGTGTGTGGTGGGCCTGGGGTATCGCCCACACCCAACCAAGTCGAGGAAGTACGCACTTTTGTTCTAACCCTGGTAGGAGGTACAAGAAGAGTTAGTTGGATGACATTCCCGACAGATGGCGTTAACATAGCAGATGATTGAGAATAACGTCGACTGTTCGGTCGTGTTATTTGTCCATTCCCCCCGAGGGAGCGAGATGGAGACAACCACGCGAGGGCCATTCATTCCAGGACTCGACCAAGAGAGGGCAATTTTCCCCCCGCCGAGGACCGACTATAATTCTTCGTCATCCGCTCTCACTGCTTGTTGTGCGTGCTGCAAAATAAATACGCATGCATGCGTCGTTACGTGCTCGGATCTCCACGCCGCCGCGCGCAGGCATATGGATGATGGGTGGAATGCTATCTCAGCTGAAGCAACATAGTTTCCCAAATGCACGAGCTGAAGGTCCTTAGCGTGCACACACACACAACGCAGTCCGGCAAAAGAGCCATCAAGTAGGTAGGAAGGTGTCGCTGCAACTTGGAAAGGGATAAAATATCATAGTTTCATTCATTCTCCATCTGAAACGTAGTTGCAGACTGGACTCCAAAACAGGCAAGACAGAAAAAAACAAATGCAACTACCACCACTCTCAAGCGGCCAAGTAATGTACCCAACGAACCAACGAACCAACCAACCCAGCAATCAATGCAAAATCCATTCTCCCATTCGTCACGCAGAGTGGTGGATACTCGACATGGATTGCGTTCGTTCACAGTCGCATGGAAGGGCGAAATAAGCAGTACCCCTCCTTAAATATGCATGACAAACCACCACACGCACGCATGCGGCGAAAAAAAAAAAAACGGAGCAGCAGCAGCAGCAGGCAGCTTGCACGCCAAACAATGCTCGTAGGAGGCAGCAAGCACATGCTGCTGTAGATATAGATTTTAATCATACTTCCGCCAAGAAGGGGAAGAATGATTTGCCGACCCACACAAGAAAAGACAGGGAAAAAAGAGGAAAAAACAAAAAAACATCACGCGAAACTCACGCATGAACACGAATATATGCACACACGATAGTTAAATCTATGCCTAACCGCCGGCCCCACGAGGTATTCTTTTCCAACCGACGTCAGCCTTTTCAAATCGACACCGGTGGTTTTGGATTCAACTTAAGCACGAGTCAACGAACCCATCAGTCCATGGAATCGAAACAAAATCAACAAAGTAGATGCCAATCCAGAGTGCCCCGAGAGCATACGACGAGACAAGAAATGGCGTAGAAAGATCGCCAACAATTGGAACGGACGCGCATTCGAATGCATCATCATCGATGGTCTCACGCACGGACGCGCAGGGTTCAGTCTCTCTGATGCATCTACAAGTGTACAGCACTGCCCTTGCGTAGTGGAGACCGAACCAAAACAACGACCACAACTTCGTCGAACACAATCAACCCCATACACCGCGAGAACGAGTCAGAAATTGACGTAGATACCTTGCTCGGCCGACTATCGCAAACCAAAAGCGCCAAACTTTTCCGTGACAATGCTGTCAGCCATTTGATCAGACTAATAAAAGTATCACAGCCTTGACACGCATTGACGCTGGCGGCCCAAGCCTCTCGCCACGCCCTCCTTCCCTCCCTTCAGTAGCTTGGCACCCTCGACTCTTCTTCGAATCTGCAGGACGAGCAGTTCTCCCTCATGAGCCGAATACGCAGTCTAGGAGTGGGAGTCTGTCATCCCACTGCTTGCTTCGTCCTTCACGAGCAGCCATCAACGACGACCAGTCCGGTCATCAAGCTAAACTATTATCATCCATTCCGTTCTCAAACGAAGCGATTCACCCCAGCTACCACGAGCGCACACCCACACACTCGGCCTCCAATCAATTCAAGTTCACGACAATTGTTCCAAATTTCACTGTTCGTTCGCGACCAGCCTAGGGAGCAGTAGTAGCCACTCCGCGTCACACAAAGAAAGAAATGAGGCTGGACACAAAACCGACAAGATCACACGCCCCCCCCTCTCGCAGTTTACAGCTGCTATGTTATCGAAAAACACGGTCGGTGGTGTTCGTCACAGACCAAGCCTCGTTGCACGCCGAGATATAAATAAACAACAGAGGGGCGTACAATAAAACACAACAGCTCAAATCAGCCGCAACGACCGCAAGCGGGGGGGAGAGGGGACGGGGGGGCGGGGGGGGGGGAAGGGGGGTGGGGCCGACAATACAAGGAAGGCTTGAGCGCTCGCTGCGAAACACGCAAAAAAGACCCCACGTATGCAGATGAAACAGATATAAACCTTCATCCTCGAAAAGTAAACGTTATCATCGCGAAACGCCTCGGGCCCAATAAAAAAGAGCAGACAGCCAGAAGGCACCCATCACGCACGCACGCACGCTCGCTCGCTCGCGCAATTTGTACAGCAACTCGTGTACAAAACACAAACACATAATACTAGTGTAACGATTAATGTGTCGAGCAGTTAGCTGCTCGAATGTATGCTGCAGAGCCTGCTCCTGTGTGGTGTCTGCTCCACCGAAAACCAAAGATAACAAATGAAAAAACAAGAGAGAAATTCAACGTTGGGCATAAAAAACACGCGTGTGTCTGGGTACTATCCTCCATTCGTGGCCCCCTT